CTCAAACGTTTCCAAGCCCGCGGTGGCCGGTGTTGGCCCAGCCTGGCCCTGTGCCGATGTGGACATGCCGAGCCCTGGCCCCGCCCCCGCCCCTGACTGCCCAATGGACTCTCCCCGGGTGAAGGCGGAGCCGGGGGCACCCGTGGCGCCCAAGCGGGACGGCGCCATCTCCGACGACACCAAGGCCGCCCTCAAGGCTGCTCTGCTCAAGTCGGCCATGAGGAACAAGAGCAAAGGTGAGGGGCGCCCGGACGCCTGTGTCCCCGAAGGGCTGGGGATGGAGCTGGGGCTCCCTCCCCGGAGCCCTGGGTCCCAGAGGGTGGGGTTGGGTTGGGTCAGGTTGGTTGGGTTGGGTTGGTGGCTCCATCCCTGGTCTTCTGGATCCCAGGGCTTGGGTTGGGGTTGGGGTTGGGTTGGTGTCTCCATCCCTGGTCTCCTGTGTCCCAGGGGTTGTGGTTGGGTTCGGTTGGGTTGGGTTGCCTTGGTTTGGTGGCTCCATCCCTGGTTGCCTGGGTTCCACGGCTTGGGTTGGAGTTGGGTTGGCTTGGGTTGTGGTTGGGTTGGTGGCTCCATCCCTGGTTTCCTGAGTCCCAGAGATTGGGTTGGGGTTGGGTTGGGTTGGTGTCTCCATCTCTGGTCTCCTGCATCCCAGGGCTTGGGTTGGGGTTGGGTTGGGGTTGGGTTGGTTGGTTGGGTTGGGTTGGGTCGGTGTCTCCATCTCTGGTCTCCTGCGTCCCAGGGCTTGGGTTGGGTTGGGTTGGTGGTTCCATCTCTGGTCTCCTGCACCCCAGGGGTTGGGTTGTGGTTGGGTTGGGTTGGTGTCTCCATCCCTGGTCTCCTGGGTCCCAGGGCTTGGGTTGGGGCTTGGGTTGGGGTTGGGTTGGGTTGGTGCCTCCATCCTTGGTCTGCTGCGTCCCAGAGGCTGGGTTGGGGTTGGGTTGGTTGGGGTTGGGTTGGTGGCTCCATCCCTGGTCTCCTGAGTCCCAGGGCTTGGGTTGTGGTTGGGTTGAGTGGGTTGGATTGTGGTGGGGTTGGTTGGGGTTGGGCTGGTGGCTCCACCCCTGGTCTCCTGCGTCCAGGGCTTGGGTTGGGTTGGGTTGGTGGCTCCATCCCTAGTCTCCTGGGGCCCAGGGCTTGGGTT